AAGGAGTTAAGAGTAAGGGAAGAAATTATAACTATAGAGCAAAATGGTAATTTCTGAAGTGGCACACATATTTACAGTTTGTGCACTAAGATTCTCCCATCATATTGAACTTCTGCCTGGTGAAATGTCTTCCTTACAACATATAACCAGTATATCCTTTGTTCCTGTCTGTACATGTGGGTGAAACCAGCCATGGCATTACTGATGAGCTGGCAGGTCCTTGTTCATTTCTTGGAAATGTGATTTTGGACAAAGAGGGCGTTGAGCTACTTCCCAGCTCTTCTTCCTGATCCTGGAAGTTTGGTTTCTTCAATTTCATCTTTGTAACCCTGTGAAAAAAACCTAAACGAGAGTCAACTCTAAACTATGTTCAGTCTTTATATAAACTATGCTTGGTCTATTTATACAGTAGTGTAAATAAAGATTTTAATTAATACAGTCCGTTTGGAAAACTGTGGGGCACTATGCAGCAATGCTGAAGATATGCACGCCCATGACCCAGCAACTCTATTTCCAAGTTTCACCATATAAAAAGGCATGCACATGTGCATCAGGAGATATGCACAAAGATGTTTAAGCAGTGTGGTTTTCACTAGTACAAAATTGGAAAGACTGTAACTGCTCATTAGCAGTTAAGAGGATAAATTGTGATAGCCGCATACAGCAGACTACCAAACAGCAATGAGAATGAGCAAGCAACAGCTATATTTGGCAACATGGATAAACCTTAAAATATAGTGTCGAACAAAGAAGCCAGATAGAATAAAAACATATTTATGGATCTGTATATAGAAACTTAGAAAATAGGCAACACTAAACTCTAATATTTAAAATGTTATGGATGTAAAACTTCTTAAAAAGCAGCAGTTCTCTACCAGGAGTGATCCAATACCAGGGGGCAGCTGGCAATATCTGGTGACAGTTTGGGTTGTCATAATTGGGGTGGGGAAATAATACTGGCACCTACTGGGTAGAGGCCAGGAGTACTGGTAAACTTGCTATAATGCATAGGACTGCTCCACAACGAAGATTTATGTGTTCTCAAGTGTCAGCAGTGCTGGGGTTGAGAAACCCTGCTGCAAATGGGAAGCCAGGAAGTGAAGCCAAAGATAAGACTGTGTCTGCCACTGAAAGTGAGAAGGGTTTTATAATGTAGCTGAGGGACAATGTAGGTTTGGGGTGTTAGCAATATTCTACTCCTTAACTTGGGTAAAATTTAGATGGGTGAATGCTCTGTAATGATTCTGCACATTATATGTTATCAGTGTTTGCATTTCAAAACTGTTGAACTATGCTAAAGAGCTGGATTTCAAGGATACTAGGATAGAAGAGTGTAGGCTGAGTTTCGGAGAGGATCTCATAGCCACTCTGTTAACAGTGTTGGGGCTGGGCTTCCCAGAAGGGCCCCATCTTCTGATCCTTAGGGTGTTTTGTTTTTATCCTCAGCTCTTCCTAAACTTTGAAGTTGAATTTGCTTTTACAAATTTAATTAACGTTTTTTCTGAAAAAATTAATCACATTTGGTTGGCACCAAATATGGAAAATTCTAACTCAGCCTTTGAAAAGGCAGAGTAAACGCAAACAAGGATTTTAACGTAAGTGATCTGGAGAAAGGGCAATATTAGGTTTTGGAAATGCTGTGATGTTTGGGGACAGGAAGACATGGAAATTCTAATGCTAGCATGACACATACCTTTTCTCTTACAGGTGATACTGGTACAGTAACTCATAAACATTAGTTTTGAATCCCCACTGGGAAGACTTGTAAAAATCAGAGATATTTATTTAAGAAAAGAGACTAACTCCAATGAAAGTGTTAGCCAAGTGGCCCTTAGCCAATGAATTGTATGAATTCCTGCCCATCTGAAGTGAGGTTTTAACGTTTCTTGTTCCCTTTTATCTCCATCACCCAAATGATTAAACCTGAATTTTGAAACCTTATGTTATGTTAATATATAGCTCAACTGACCTAGAACAACACCTGAGCATAGTGTGCACTTAAAAATATGTATTGAATACATGACCAAGCTAAAAAAAAGATAAGGAAAGAACACTTGGAAGTAGAGATGTGCAAATAAGAAATTTTGATTAGTGTTTAATACATAACTTGAATATGTTTAAATAGAAATAATGTGTGAGTTCAAATTATTTAAGGTTGAACAGACCTCTTAGAATCTGCACAATCTTTTAGTTTCTTTTTGAGCTCTGAGCAAATGGACTGAGAATTGAAGGGGAGGATGATTCTTTATAAGATGAATTTAGGAGTCTTTCCCCATCGACTTATAATTTATTTTCTTAGATGTTTTGTCCTATATCACAAAACACTTTTAACACAGAAAAAAACAATCCTATTACATTTGAAATTTTTATGCTAACTCAGAAATAACATTTTCTCCAGGGATATTCTGAAAGGTCAAAGTGATTCTAAAATGTAAGTATACCGGGAATGATGGATTCTTATATTAATGCAATGATGTAGTGACCTAATTCATTTTTCAAGGGCAGAATGAAAGCAAAATTTAAAGTGACCCATTTTTAAGAGACGAGCTGCTCAGAGGTAATGATCAAAAGACTACAGTGAAGGTTTTTAGCACCCAGGGACTCAGCGCACATTGTTTATATGAATCAATAATGAAAGTCTTGGTAGGGAAAGGGAGTTTTCACTTTGGGGGCCCAATGGGAAGCTTTGAACAGGTAGGGCAAAAAAATTCACAAGGCTGGAGAGTTCATCTTTCTGAATAGACCACAGTGAAACAAAAGTTCCTAAACCTAGTATGTCGTGATTATTACATCTCATCTGCATATATGTGCCCTCTTGAGATCACCCCAGCTGCAATTCTCTGAAAATTACCAGGTGACAAAGCTGGTGTTGGTTCTCTGGTTTATTTTAAGAGGCCAATAGGAAAAGGGGAACAGGAACTAGAGAAAAGGTTAGTTCAAGAAGAATTAACCTAGAAGGTAACACCCACGCACAGGAAATCAATGTGAGTCAATGCCCTGTATAGCTATCCTTATCGCAACCAGCAAAAACCCTTGTTCCTTCCTATTATTGCTTATACTCTCTCTACAAAAAAATTAGAAATAAGGGCAAAATAGTTTCTGCTGGGTATTGAGGGGGGAGAGGGAGGGGGGCGGAGTGGGTGGTAAGGGAGGGGGTGGGGGCAGGGGGGAGAAATGAACCAAGCCTTGTATGCACATATGAATAATAAAAGAAAAAAAAAGAGTCTTTGATGACTTTGCTCTACAAGTTGTTTTCAGCAGCAGATGAGAGTGAAAGTAAAGAGAAGACTTCAGTGTGTGCCATTTTCCCAGCTCTGCCTGGACATGTCACAGAGCAGGGAAGGCTTCCAAAGGGAATGGGTGTTCTCTGTTCTCCCCCATAGAAAAGGAAAAGGAGACTTGGGCAAAGCAGGCTACAAGAGGAATGAGGGACTTGGACAAATATTTCAGTTGACTTTGAAGACAGGCAACATTCTGGTTGGAAGTTCCTTTTTTGGACAGGTGATTGATCTTAAATTTATTTTTATTTTTATTGCAGTGTAAAATACACATAGTAAATATATAAATTGCACCAATCTGAACTATATGGCACGATGGATGTTTACATATAAGTGTGCTTTAATAACTATCTTACAGACCAAGACAGAACATTTCCAGCACCACAGAAAGTTCCCTTGTACCTCCACCCCAGTCTATTACACCTCTGTACCCTACTGCTATTCTGAGTTCTATAGCCATGAATCACATTCACCTATTTCAGCTTGACATCTGAATTTCAGTTGTAAAATAAATAAATGGAATCTTACAGTTTGTAGTCTTGTGATTTCTTTCTCTATGTTTATGGGATTGATTTATGGTGTGTGCATTTTTCCTTTTTATTGCTGAGTAGTAGTCTATTGTGTACCTAGACAACAGTTGGTTTATGTGTACCAGTTGATGTACCTTTGGGTTGCTTCCATGGCGGGCAGTTATGCTTAAAGACTTATGAACATTCTAGTATATGATGAGGCCAGTTGCATTCCTTTCTCTATATATGCAGGAATGAATTGCTGGGTCAGAGGGTAGGCATGTGAGCAGCTTTAGTATGTCTAACCACACATGCTAAATGTGTGGTTAGATGAGTAGATGAACACCTGTGGCAGACTCCTCAGGATGCCTGTACCCCTGTGTTCATTCCAATTACGCTACCAATTGTTTAAAAATAATTATAAGCCAGTGGACGGCTCAGTTCAAATAAATTGTGTTTGAGTACATACAGGGCCAGATCTTGTTTTTCCGGCCCCTCCTTCTGCAGTCCAGTATAGCAGAAACCTGAAGAATCGGAACAAGCCACCCCCAAAGCCATCTTCTAGGTCACAGCCACCATTTTTGGTCTTGAATTGATTGATGACATGGATCTGGAGTCTCCCTGTCTGCCCCAGACCCAGTCTTTGTCTGGGTTTAACTCATGGGAGGGATGAACACAAATCCCAGAATGCCGGAACTCAGAGGGAAGTGCGTGCTAAAAATGATCTGGTTTACTTGCATTTGCAATTAGAAATATATTTCTTCTATTTCCCAGTCTTTGCAATAATATCGCTTTCCGATTTGCACGTAAGAACTAAGACACAAAGCAGCTTCTCCAGCACTCCCTGCACCCCCACCGTGTTATATACTCAGATCCAACCCAGCTCCAAAACCAGATCTCAAGTTCTAGCAAATTCTCGAGGACTTCCCCCTTCAGCAGGGAACCCCACGCTGCCTGGGTCCTGAGAACTTGGTTAGCCCTAAGTGGCTGGCTGGGCCAGCCTCCAGCCCGGCCTCCTGGCCTCCACAGTTTCCCCACACAGCATTACTTCGTCCTTCTCAGTCCTGCCCGCTCCCAGGGCCCCGGCCTGGGGGACTCTCCTAAAAGAGGGTTTTCCAAAACTCCAAACTCCGCCCTCCCCGGGAGAAGGCTCCCAATCGCCTTGCAGCGTCCAGCCCGCACCTCCTTCAAAGTTAGTGAAAGTCTTGGAAACCCAGGCTCGCCTCCTCGCTGCTGTGTGTCCCAGCTCTGGGAGCCCAGGTCCGAGGGACCCCGGGAGGAACTGGTGGCAGGAGGCTGGAGCGTCTGCCTGCCTGACACCTGTCGTGGACGAGCTTGGTTGCTGCTGCCCCCAACAGCTGGCGGCGGCGGCAGCCACAGGGACCCGCCAGGAGCGGAAGGAATTAAACGCCCGCCCATCGCATCAGACTTGGCCGCTCCCTCCTCCTCCTCCCCCTCCCCCTTCCCCTTCGCCACCGCCGCCTCCTCCCGGTCCCCACCGGCTCCGCGGCGGGACGCTGTGCCAGGAGCGATTTGAACCACGTTCGGCTCGCACCAAGCAGGGCTCGCTCCCAGGGGCTGCTCTGAGATGGCAGTGAAGTAAGGGGACCTCAGAGAGACGTTGCGACCCTAGCTTGAGCCCGAGAGTCCGTTGCTTCACCAGACGGGGACATGGGGGACCCGTCGTACCGCGAGAAGCCGCAGCTGCACTACGCGGTGAGTGGCCCGGCGCGCGCAGAGGCGACAGGGGGCGCCACTTGGCCGGCATAGGAGAGGACAGTGCGGAGGTGATGGGATTCGTGGCTCTCCAGAAGTCCTCGGTTGGGGGGTGGGCGGGTGTGCCGGGGTACATGACTGAGTGCCACCTGCTTGAAAACTCAGCGGTGCTGCTTGCAGTCCCCTCGTAGGGGAGCCTCTGCACCCGGAGCCAGCATTCCTTCCACCTGCGCTGTGGTCATTGCGTGGAGAACCTCGGGCTGGACCCGATCGCCACCTGGCATGCTAGGGCTAAGAAATGGGGCTTCTGGAGCTTGACCAGCCTTAGATCAGACAGGCTGAAAGGACAAGACGGGAAAAGAGCTGGTCTGGAGTCAAGCCCACTTAACGATCTGAGTGTGTGGCGAGTGGAGTCCTGGAAGGGAAAAATGTCCCAAGGATCCATGAGGTGTACCCATTTTGCTCCTTGGAAATAGGGTGTGCATTTCCCTCCGAGATTTTAGGGGGACAGAATGTTGCCTGCTATCTGCTTAATATAAGAGGATGCCGGGGGTTCTTTTGCTGGACTCCTCTTTTTCCTCATGAAGGGTGACCTCGCCCTGTTGATTTAAATATTCCACAAATATTTGTTGGAGATCTACTGTGTGCCAGGCATTGTGCTGGGCCCTGTGTGTACTGCAGTGACTGAAACAGGCAAAAACCTCAAGGGGTTTGCTATTTCACGTCAATGACGAACCAAATCGGAATTCTAGATTAAGTCTATTTTGGGGCGGAGGGAGAAAAAAGAAAGAAGGAGGAAAAGAAAGTCATGTGAGGAATGAGCACTACTGCTCATTCTGAACACCTCTGCCAGGAAGGGACAGGCAGCAGGTTTAGCTTACTCCCGTCTTTGGCCATTTATTTTCCACATTTAAAATGTGTCATTTTGAGATGAGACATTGCAGTTGTTCTGGCATCTGGTAATTTATGGAGTTTTCCTTGACATGATTTTCACTGTTGAGATTGAACATTCTGACTGCCAACTTTAAAAACTGGAGGGAAGCAGACAAGACAGAAAATTGACAGGAATAATCAATATTTATTATACAGCAAAGAAAGTTCTGTCTGGAATTCACACCCTCCCAAGTCCACTCCACACATTAAAAAAATTTTTTTTTCAAGAAAGAAGTCAACGTAGACAGAGGTGATAGACTCAGGGGTCCAGGAACTGCCCCAGCTGGTTCAGGGTGCGGCCTGGCCGGTCCTGGATCAGTTGCAGGGCAAATGCAAGTCACTTTATTCCGCTGGAAAAATGAGGGCTTGAATTAGGAAATCCTTAGGGTCCCTTCCTAGGCCAACATCCCAGGAACTCAAGACAGCTCTGTCTCTGAAATGCCAAGTGAGGCACTTTATAAGTTCCTAATGCATGTTCATATTTTAGGGGACACTTATGGCTCAGAGTTTTACCATTTAAAGTGACATTATGTGTTTAATCAGTGTTTAACAAAGATTACTTTGCATGGAAGGAGCTCATGTGTGTGTTCCTTGTAACCACTGGACATGTACACCCCACCATGCTTTCCAGATTTTGAACTGTGTGCTGGTGCCCTTTGATTTGTGATCTGAGTCTGTTTATTCCATTCATAAGAGTAGAGGTAGGGAAAGAAAAGTGAGAACTGATTCCTTAATTAAAAAAAAATCTGTGTGTCTATTTATTCTATGAATGGTCATTGCCTTTATTGTGCAAATATATCCAACACATCACAAAAATTTTAAATGTTATTTTGATTCAGCTGTTTCATTCTCCTAAAATCATAAACTTAGAGCCAAGCTGATGGTAACGTTTCCTTGTGGGGAATCTGAAGATTTGCTGATGAAATAGCCCTTTGTATTAGCAAAGATCCTTGTGTACATCTATTTTGATTTAAGACTGAAAAAAAGAAGATTCCAGAAGGAATTTATTGGGATTTCACTTTATTCAGAGTCACTTGGGCACTCTGAATTTTCCTATGCATCCTTTAGTGTGGTAAAGCAGCTGCATTCGGCAGCCTGGAATCAGTCACATGTGGAAAAAATATTCTTTACTAAGTATGACCTGTTGCTTTTCATATTAGCAGAGCCCTCAATGGCATAAGATCTAATGTTGCATTCTTTGTCTGCTTCCCTCATTTGGATTTTGATAATTCCAGAGCTTGTTTTCTTCTTCAACACAAATATTCCACTTACTTTGCTCAATATGGTTTTGTCCCCACTGTACAGTGGCTTGTGGTCTTCGGAGACTTTTGGGTTGTCTTCCTAGAAAAGAATGACCTCCCATGTACATCCTCTGACAGGGACAAATATTTAATGTTTTTCCTTCAGCACTTTTTCTTTTGCCCAAAGGCAGATTGCATTATAAGAAATCAGTGGCTCACATTTTATTCAATCAGCAAACATGTGTTGAGCATCTATTGTGTGCCAGGTATTTGATCAGTTTTCCAAAGAGACAGTTTTAACTAGTGGAAATCTTGAGTCCCTATGAGCATTTCACTCATCTTTTAAAATGGACATTAAGTATCACAGAAAGTAATATACACATACATAAGATAAGAGCACCCTGCATTTATATTATCAGTTACATTTTTTCAAAGTATAGTACAAAACGGTCTTCTTGTTTTATCATCACAACAAAAATGTGTGTTAGCGACTAATGCTCTCCAAACCATTCCTCTCACAGTTTTCCCATATTTAGTTTATAGCTACTCCATCCTTCCAGCTGGGTGTTGTCCCTGACACCTCTGGGTGACTTGGTGAGATTTGCATTTGAGAAAGAAAGTGTGCTCTGGTTCCCAACACGGAGTCAGGGGTGAGGAGGAGGCAGAGCATATCCTGGTGTTTGGACCCAAGAGAGATACAAGACCTGTACTAGATGGTAGCTGGGAAGAAGGTTGAGAGCAGTTGGTATATTGGAGAGGCGCTTAGGATGTTGAACCAGCCAGCTTTAGTTTGGGTGGGTGTATAGGGGGACAGAGATGAAAGTCAAGGTGACACGACTGAATCAGTGGTGTTCTGGCTACACCTTTAGGAAACTAAACTGTAGGTCATCATAGTATTGCCCTTGTTGTTACTGTCTTAAACAAATTACAAAGTATTTTAACACAGTCTGGGTCATTTCCCCAAATCCAATTGGTAGGTTAGGTAGGTTTTCGGTTTCCTGGTTTGAGGAAATCCAAAATCAAGGCAGTAGAGTTCAAAATGGCACAAGAAGAGTTGATGACAGAACCAAGAGTTTTATATAGGTGTCTTGACCCCACAGTGCTCTTCTGAATCATTTAGATGGTTGAAATAGTTGAGCCCAATTATCTCTCTCCCCATACTCTCTGTCACAGTAACAAACTATCAGCCAAATGCCCCAGGGCTTTCAGTGACTTAATGTGACCATCCATAGTATCAAATCACATGGTAAAGTAGTTCTTTAATTTGACTAATCTAGACAAAAACAAAAAATTAAATACCCATTAAGTTCAATATCCTTATGTCTTTGTCAAGTCATTAAAAAATGTAGATTAAAAGCTTGGCTCAGTGACTTCTTGGGACCCTAGAAGGTTTGCTTTTGTCTCCTGATGCCTCAACCTATGTTCATCCTCAGCTGAGGCAGTCCACAACAAAAGATTCTGGACTGGCACCATTCACTTCTCTCTCTCTCTGGCAGGTGAAACACTCAGTGGGGGTAGTCATGGGTGTGTCTTGTTCCTGCTCTCATCCTACACCTAGCAGAGTGCTGGGAACCCAGTAGGTGCTTGATGAATATGTGTTGAATAATTGCATGGATCAGTAGATGGGACTTAGTTTTGGAAACCCCATGTTCCCCATTCTCTTCCCTTATACTTGGCTGACTTCTGAGTTCCTCCATTGCTGACTTCACTTCCTGTTTGCTGCGGTCACCCCATCATCTGTACTTTTAACCACAACCTCATAATCAGATGCTGACTATACCCGGTTCTACTTAATCCCTCCCTGAGGAGACCACCAGAAGGATTAAGCCACTTACCTGACAGAGAGCTTCTTTCCATCTAGAATGACTGAGGTCTTAGTATGCAAGTTTCCACGTTCAGTTTTCAAAGTCTTTGAAGTCATTATGTTCACTTAATAATTCACTGATGTTGAATACAAGATACTCGTTGGTAATTCTGAAGATACAGGAACTGGGCACTGCTGCAGACCTGTGCTGATAAGAATTGGTTATCGTCCATCAGTGCTGCCACTGGGCACAGCTTACAAATGCAGCACATATCACTATTGGTTTAGCATTGTCTCCTCATAAAAGGAAGAAATGGGAGACTACTAAATTCCCTTAATTAACACCGGTATTCATTGTGACTACCTTGTCTAACCTCTCCCCCTTCCAGTATGGTTATTTTTCTGCTACAGCCAGAATCTTTCTTGGATGGAAGCCCCATCATCTTAGAGACACCCATCATCTCCTATCTTCAAACTACCCATTAAATACCACTGGAATTTGATAAATAATCAGATTCCTGTTGGGTGTTCCATAAAAGATATCTGCCAATCATTTGAAAACAAATATCACATTTTGCCTAGTCTTTTCTGGTGATAACTTTCTGTTATTTATTTTTTCTGTTCTCCACATTGTGATACCCTGGGCTAGATGCACTTGGCTTTCAATTTGGCTGTGATGGTGTTGTCCAGTCCTAAAGAGTCTTCACTGGGTTCTTGATTTTTCACTTCCCCTTCACCTGTATCATTCTCAGATGTTCCCATCTCAGTAAACAGTTGGCTACCCTTATGCCCAGTGTCATCTTTCAAAAAGAAAAGAAATACTAAAATTTCAGTGCTTAGCTCTCTCTCATTTGTTTCTATTATACTTAGAATAATATCTTCATGATAAATTGACAAATGCAATTAATTTAATATCTTTTCATATACTTTCTCTTTTCAGACTTTCTGGCTTCTAACCTTATTTTCAAAAGATAATTTTCCTGATTTAGCTCTCTGCCTCCTGCTACCCTCTCCCAGCTTAC